GGTACTTAGAAGGGGGGGGACTGAACTCATAAGCTGTTTTTTTTTTTTTTTGAAGTGATAAAAGTGCTCTGGAATTAGATAGACGATTGCACAACATAGTGATATACCAAAAACCACTGATTTGTACACTTTAAGATGGTGAATTTGAGGGGGGGAAAGGAGGAATTGGTAAAGGGACATGAAAATCAACCTCACTGTACATTGATAAATTAAAATAAAAAATAAAAAAACAAAGATTAGAAGACACAAATTACCAATATCAGCAATAAGGAAGATGGTATCACTACAGATTTTATAGATATTAAAAGGAAAATAAGGGAATACTATGAACAACTTTAAACCACTAAATTTGATGACTAGTAAATGGACAAATTCCTTGAAAGACAGAAATACCAAAGGTCACTCAAGAAGAAATAGATTAATTGAGTAGTTCTATATCTTTTAAGGAAATTAGAGCTGTAGTTTAAAGTTATTCCAGTCTCAGATGGCTTTACTGATGAATGTTACAAAACAGTAAAGGAAGAAATAATACAAATTACATAAATATCTTCCAGAAAATTGTAAAGGCAGGCATGCTATGAGACCAGAATTACCCTAATGCCAAAACCAAAGACATTAAAAAAAAAAAAGAAAACCATAGACCAATGTTTCTCATAAGCAGAGATGAAAAATTCTAAAAATATTGTAACAAATTGGATCCAATAATATATAAAATGGGAAATACAGCATGACAATGTGGAGTTTATCCCACTCATGCAACACTGTTCTAACACTCGAAAATTAATCACAATATCAACAATACAAAACAAAAAGCAAAACCACATAATTATCTCAAAGATATAGAAAAAGCATTTGACAGAACCCAACATCCATTCATTATAAAATACCTCAGCAAACTAGGAATAGAAGGAACCTTTTTCAACATGATAAAGGACATCTATGTAAAATTTATAGCTAATATTATATTTAATGATGAAAGTCTTCATGCTTGCCCTTAAGATCAGAAATAAGACAAGGATTTTTGCTTTCACTACTTCTAATCAAAAACTAGTGCAATAAGGCAAGAAAAAAAATTATACAAATGAGAAAGGAAGAAGAAAAATTGTCTTTATTAGCAGGTATGGAACTACAAAAAAACTATTAGAACTAAATGATTTTAGCAAATTTGCAAGATACAAGATTAAAGAACAAAAACCAATTATATTTCTATATACTAGCAATAAATAATCAGAACTTGAAATTAAAAAGCAATACCATTAATAAAAAATAGGATATACTTAGAGATAAATCTGACAAAAGTTCAAAACCTTTACAGTGAAAACTACAAAATGATGTTGAGATAAATTAAAGAAGACCCAAGAAATGGAGAAACACATCTTGTTCGTGGGCCATAAGATTCAATATTGTTAATGTCTCTATTCTCTCCAAATTGATAATTAGAATGCACACAACCCTAATAAAAATCCCAGCAGGCTACAAGTGGACAATCTAATTGTAAAATTGAAAGGTGTATTAGTCTGTTTCTACTGCTTATAACAGAATACTTGAAACTGGGTAATTTATAAAGAAATGAGATTTATTTCTTACAGTTTGGAGGCTGGGAAGTCCAAGGTCCAGGGAACATATCTGGTGGGGGCCTTCATGTGGTGGGGGTCTACAGCAGTGCAGGGTATCACATGGTGAGAATGGGCTGAGTAAGGGAACTGACCTGCTCACTCGCTCTCCATCAGAACCACAACCATTATTCCATGAATGGATCGATCCATTCATGAGGGCACAGTTCTCACAATCTAATTACCTCTTAAACGCTCCATCTTTCAAATATCATAATTGGGTTTCCCACCCTTTTAACACTGTTACAATGGAGATCAATTTTGCAGTACATGAACTTTTGAGGGGCATATTTTACCCATAGCAATAGGAAAATACAAAAAACTGAAAAATAGACAAAACAACTGTGAAAAAATAAGAATCTATTTGGAAGACTTACATTACCTATTTTCAAAACTTATTACTCAGCTACAGTAATCAAGACTGTATGGTTTTGGCATTAAGATAGATAAGTAAATCGATGGGATTCAACAGAATCCAAAAATAGAACCCCACGTACATGATCTATTGATTTTCACCAAAAGTGTAAAGGCAATTCAGTGGAGAATGGATAGTGTTTTCACTATATGACAAAACATGAATTCAAAATATATCATAAGCATAAATGTAAAATCTAATACTCTAATACTATAACACTTATAGAGGAAACATAGTAGATAATACTTATAATCTTGGGTTAGGCAAAATAACAAAGTTCCTTAAATGTGACAACAAAAACAACAAACAAACGAAAAATTGATAAAATGGACTTCACCAAAATTAAGAACTTCTGCTTTTCAAAGGCACTGTTATCATTATGAAAATTCAAGCCATGACCTGGGATAAAAATGTTTACAAATCACATATGTGATTAAAGATTTGGTATTAAGATAAGGTTTTTCAAAGTACAATAAGAAAACAAAACAAAAGGCAACAAAATATGGGAGAGATAACTAAAAGGACATTTCAACAAAGAACATAAGTGAATGGCAAATAAGCACATGAAAAAATGCTATACGTAATTAGTCATTAGAGAAATGCAAACTAAATCCACAGTGAGATAACACCACACACCTGAAATGACAACATTGACAATACCAAGTATTGAAGAGGATGCAGAGTAACCAGAACTTTCAAATGTCTACTGGGAATGTTAAATGCTATACGTAATTAGTCATTAGAGAAATGCAAACTAAATCCACAGTGAGATAACACCACACACCTGAAATGACAACATTGACAGTACCAAGTATTGAAGAGGATGCAGAGTAACCAGAACTTTCAAATGTCTACTGGGAATGTTAAATGATACAACCACTTTGGAAAACAATTCTTAAAATAGTTAAACATACACTTTCCATATGACCCAGACATTCCACTACTATATATCTACCCCAAAATAAGTGAAAGCATATATACATACAACGATGTGTGCATGAATGTTCATTACAACTTTATTTGCAATAGCCAAAATCTTGGTAACAACCTAAATGTTCATCAAAAGGGGAATGGAGAAGCAAATTATGGTACATCCATACAATGAAATATTACTTGGTAATAAAAAGGAACAAACTATTAATATATACAACATCAATGAATCTCAGAATAATTATACTGAATGATTGAAGTGGTACCAAAAAGAGTAGATGATGATGATTTCACGTATATAAAATTATAGAAAATGCAAATTAATGTATAATAACAGGAAGCGGGTCAGAGTTTGTCTGAGAAGTAAGGGTCAGTGGTTGCAGTTGGACAGGGAGGGGCAGGAGGGAACAATTACAAAGATACAATAGGAAATTCTGGGATATGATAGATATGTTCATTATCTTGAATGTGTTAATGTTTTGTTTCATGGGCATATACATGTGGCAAAACTTAATTGTACACTTTAAACATGTTAAGTTTATTCTGTGTCAATTATATTTATTAAGGTACAATAAAGGTGAAATTTTTCTTAATTAGAGGTGGAAATGAGATAAAAACTCACATTTTCCAGTCCTGTAGATTAATTTTTGGCCAATTCTGCTTTGGGAAACAAATTTGGTCCCTGAAATAACTGTGGCGTAATAGAGAACATATTCTAGCATAGTGAATTTTAAGAACTGTAACGTGAATGGTTGATGTAACTGTTAACTATAAATCAAAAATAGAGTCAGGAGCAACCACTGTTCAGTCCAACTCATTAAAAAAAATAAGAAGAAAAGCAGTAATTAGTGGTGGTGTAACTGCTGGTGTAAATGGTAACGTAAGTGGGAGTGTAAACCAGTATAATTTTCTGGAGACCAATTTGGAAGAAGTTTCAAAATGTGCTCAACTTTTATCCTCACAGTACTATTTTCAGGAATTTTTAAAAAATACTAAGGATGTGAGCAAATATTTAAGACATTCAAAACAGTATAATATATAATATAAATAATTTTAATTACCCAAACTATCTAAAAATAGGTTCAGTTATAGAAATATAGTCATACAGTGGACATCAAATTGATGACCTGGAAAGATCTTGAGGAAGCTTTATAGTAGGTAAGAGTAGAAATAAGCTCCAGAAGTATATGATTAACATGTGCTAAAATTCTAATGTTTATATTTGCATACATAGAATAGGGAAGAATGTATCTCTCTTAACAGCAGTAATTGTTGAGTGTTGGAATTGTTGGTGACTTAAATTTTCTTTGCACACTTTCTAGTTTCCAAATTGCTGCCACAACACAAATTCATTTTTAGTCGGGAAATAATAAAGTAGAGAGGTCTTTCCTTAAGCAAGGGGTGTGCATGAGCCATGTATGAGTATATACCACTAACCAGACAGTTCACTGTTTCCAAGAGTTGTTTGGTGTGAAGATTCCCTTGGGGTTTTGTGTGTTTCTGAGATTTGCCCCCTAGCTCAGTCCTGAAGCTCGTTGCTGAACCTCTGGACTTAAATCTGAGGCTGTGGAAAGATCTGAGCAGCTGTGTGTATGACGGGCAGCTGTGTGGGATGTGGGCCATGCAGGGCTGCCTGTGTGATCCTGACCGAGGCAGAGATGCTACCTCCACTGTTTGGGAGACACTGGGGCTGCCATGTTTACTCTGTGGGGTTCGCCCCTGGCTGTGGGACCTGAGCACTGGCATCCCCTGATGAGCTTGGCATTGGTGGTGGGCAGAGCTTGGAGATCATTGCAGGAGAGAAGAGCATATGGAGAGCTGGTTTGTGAATCCTTGAGGTGCTCCTAAAGATGCCCACAAAGACTGCAGGTGTGGGCAGAGACTATTAAGATGTACCCCAAACACTCCAGAACAAGTGTCACCTTCTCAACCCCAGGATTCACACATCTGAAGCTATTCTCCATGGCTCTGGAACATTCAGCAAAGACATTCACACACCACCCAGGCAAGCACATTTTATTTTCCCATTCAAACCACTGCACTGACTTGGTCAGATAGAATTTTAATTAAGGCAAGGTAGGCAGAAGGGAAAGGAGGGCATGTGCAGCAACCACACCTCTTTACGGAAAGGAGAACCTGCCGCAGAACAAGAAGCTGCTGGTTTTGTGGTGCCTGATGAAGAAAAGAAAAGGGTGGTCTGCACAAAACCTTGGCTCCGTCCGGCTGCACCGGGCATTCCTGACCACTGCGGTAGCTGCAGCCGCCTCTGTTCCTTCCTCATTGACCTCCACGAAGCACTTGTGAGCGACCTTGGACACGGGCACGTTCTTCTTAGTTGACATTCCAGAAAAGTCAGCCTTAGCTTCCTCAAAAGCATCAATCATTCCTAAACCTCGGAGGAAAGACTCCAAGTCATAACTCTCCTCCAGCTTAAATCTGGGAAGGAAAACCTGAACTTCACTCTTCGTCATCTTTTCTGGGTCTGTCCAGGCTCTGAACTTGTCATATGTGAGTACTTCTTCCACCTGGAATAACACAGTCAAACCTTAAAATCTAGATGACAATGGCCTGGTGCCCACCCACCTGCTTATTACCCCTCCCCCCATGACATGCAACTGGATGTTGAGTTCTGGCCCAAGACAATCTACAGGTATTTTTTCTTATAAACACACCAAGATTTCCCTCCAAATTCTCATCTTTTCCTGTCTTATGGATACAGGAATGAAAGTGCTAGAACACACCTGAGACAAGCAGAAAGTTTTAATAAAAGCAATTGGCACCAAATCCATTTCAAATGTTAAGCATTTTTTAACAGCTCAGAAAGTTCTAACCAATTGGTTACATTTAATATTGATGCAGTACACACATGGCTGTGATGTGGAAAGATCGTGTGACAAAGAAAGACAAAGAGCATGGCTCAGAACTCTGATCCTCATTCAAATCATGGGGCTGCTCTTTCAGGGTGAAAGAGGAGGAAATCAGGTATCATCTGGTCGTGAAGGGAGGCGAGGTGTGGCTCCTGGGAGGGGAGCAGATGTGGGGAATTCAGCAGGACTGTTGCCTCTGCCATCCTTGGTTGCCCTCTGCCTATCCTGGAGTTAGTTTCAAATCCTCCACAGCCCATCACTCATTCTATTTATCCATAGGAGAAAAGAAGGGAGGGGGAGGGGACTTCCACTTGCATCTCCCCTTCCCTTTACCAACTGGAACCCAGGTGAGTGCTTCTCTCCAGTGACAGTCATTTTGACTTTGGCTCTATTTCTTGATTCTTCTACATTTTTCTTGAGTGTCCATGACAGATCTCATGTTTGACTTATGCTCATAGCTTTCTTATTGCATAGAGAAATCAAGGAAATCAGGCAGCCCCACCCTCAACACTGGAGCCGTGGTAGGCTGGAGCTGGTTTGTATCAATTGTTAAACCCTTGGTAGCCTGAACTCAGCCCCATGGGAGTATTTACACCATGGAAATCAGTAAAAGTTATAAATTAAGGCTCCCCCCACCTCCCAGAGAGCTGGTTTACCAGCATACCATTGTTCCTGCACCTTCTGCTTTCTAAATTTACTTTATCACTTCCTGGACTTTGTACCTCTTCTGTCACAGGAAGACTTTCCTCTCCTCCTGTCTAAGGTGTATTCCCCACCTGTACTGTAGACCCTGCTAATTAAAGTGTAGTCCATGGATAAGCCCCATCAGCATCACCTGCTAGAAATGCAGAATTTCAGGCCATACTACTCTGAATGAAAATCTGCATCTTAATAAGTTCCCCAAAAGATTCATATGCACATTAATGTCTGATAAACATTCTTCTGATAAACAATCTTTACTCTTTTTCCAGGACTTTTGTTCAATAATTATTGGGCCCTCCACTAGTCCCTCCCTTCAGAATAAAAAATACATTCTTATATTTTTGAAACTCTCTCTTCTCAGCTTCATCAAAACTTGTCTACTCCTAGATATACAATCAATAGAAATGCACACACATGTTCACCAAAAGACATGCAGCAGGGTTCATCCAGCACTAGTAATAATTCAAAACTGGAAGTTCCTCAGATACCATCTGGTGGATGGACTTCTGAAATGAGCGCAACTGAAATCCACAGACATGCAGACTCATTGCCCAGGGCTTACCTCGGTGAGATCCGTGTTGTCATCAGGAAGCAGAATAACCATGCTCAGCTCCTCCTGTGCGTATGGCAGCTCCAGGACATGCGTGTGCACCTCATCTACATACCCCATTTTAAATTTAGCTTGCTTAAACATCATCTGCACTGTCTTTTTCTCCTAATAAAAACATAAAAATAAAGTTAGAATACAGAAAAATGAGCACAGTTTACTAAAAATAAGATACGTCTAACTTGCAGAACCCCTCTCACACATTATTATTTCTGCACATTTACATTGATAGATATAAAATCTTCATTAGTACATCTTAGTATTGAATAGAATATGCATATCATGTTCTATCATTCCAGCATATCAAGCATTATCAGATGAGATAGAACAGTCCAGTGGATGTAGAAGGAGATAAATCTCTACATTATTTCTGGAAAATCTGAGTTTGCTCTTTTGAGAAGACTCATAGAGAAGGACTCCCAGGGACCTTTTAATTTTAAAAAATATCTTTAAAGTTAGCTTTAACATCTGCTAACACTTTTTTTCTTATGTTCAGAATTGCATAGCCTCAAATTTTAAGGCAATATAGGCATAATTGCCACTGACATTACAAAAGTTATCTAACTAAATATAGATAGTAACTGCATAATAAAAAACATAATTCCAAGGCTTAGAAGAAATTTTCCTCCAATCCAAATCATATGACCTGAGGTGGAAGATGGATTTGACCAAGGATGGAAAAACAAAAGTATCAATACAAAAATCATTTTAGTTTCTCTCCACCCTCCCTTCAATTAGAGATAGACAGGGAGCATTCAATTCATCCAGAAATAGATTAAGAATCAAGAAAGTGTGGGATAAATTATTTATTTTTTCCATTCATAATCTTTTCCAGCTTAGTACTTTAAGAAAGTAGTAGTATATCAAAGAAATATTTCCCTACCTGGTTAGTTTTAAAAGGCATTCCCCTTGTGTACTTTCTGTCAAATTGCTCATGCCACTTTCCTTTGAAATAGATAGCATTCACAAGGACCAGCTTAGTCAGTGGATCAATTGTCCCCGCACCCAGCACCTCTGATATTTTACCTGTAAAGAATATGAGAAGGGTGTATTGCTACTTGGGAGTAAATAACATTCTTTTACAAAACCCACCTTGACATATAAAGCAGAGGCTTGACTGAAAGCCCAGTTGGAGTCCTGTCTTTCTGACCACCTGATGGATGTGTGCTCATGCACCATGCACCATTTGTCCTCAAACAACAAGTAGGTAGAGCAACTATGGTTTTGTCCTCGATTTACGAATGTAGAAATTTAGGATCAGAGCATTTGCCTGACTTTTGCCAAAATTCACACAAGTAGCAAGTGGCTGAGCTGAGAAAATAACCCAGGGGCCTTGATTCTGACAATAAGGCTCTCAACCTAAGCACTGTAATTTCTCAACTGTACCACTATTGGCATGTTAGACTGGATAATTCTTTGTTATAGGGGTTGTCCTGTGCATTGTAGGACATTTAGCCTGCAGCACTTCCCCTAATTGTGACAACCAAAAATATCTTCAGCCACTATCAAATGTCAACTGAAAGGCGAAATTAGCCCTTGTTGAGGATCACTGCTCTATGCCAATTTTCCAATCTCATTTAGATAAGGAGAAGCTTCCAAAGGATGGGGGAACACAGTCCCTAAATTAGAAAAGACAGGCTACCTGAATGGGGTGAATGTGGCAAAGAAATTAGGGGAATGGAATAGAAGGGCTCAAGTCGAGTTGTCTACTGAGGGGGTGACAAGGTGATCCCCTTGGGTGATCCCCCACAGTCTCCTCTAGCTCCAATATTCTGGGCAAACATGTCGGTGGTCATCCTAAAGGAAGGAAAAGTGTGAGCAGCCATGCAGGAGAAGTGATGGATATGGAGAGGGCAAGGTGTGGAGAAACTTCTAGGTTCCTCGGATGACTTGGTACTGCTGGATCCACTGAAGAACAAGATACCTCTGGACAGATGATGTACAAAAACGTGGGATGACTCTTTCCTTTCCATGCTAATTATCTTTACTGTTAGATTTCAGGATAATCATGGATTGCTTCTGCCTGACACACAATGGACGTGCCATAAAGACTGAATGAATGAAACATTGAGTGCTGGGTTGCCATTGAAGAAATAAGTGACTTACTTCCCCCATTCTTTAGAAGTATCTGAATTATTTGTTAGGTAATTATGGTGCTTAAAAGCATGCCTTCTTTTTCTCTGTACTCAAGTCAAGAACTGGCAGAAATATTTCTGATGGGACAGAGTGTGGTCTGGACAGGGCACCCTGAAAGGTCCATGTTAGCTGCACCTCCAGATTCCGGAGCAAGTTCAGGAAAGTTCATGCTCTGAAAGCAAACTTAGCTGCAGCCAAATTAAAAAGGAGAGAGAGGGCTGTAGATGTAACAAGTGAGCCGTTCACGTCACCACAGAAGATAACAGGATAACATGAAATGTTGTCACATCTAAACTGCAATCTAATTGAATGTCATTCTGCCTCAGATCATGGCAAGGGTCCCTCAGATAGAAGATAAGCAGGGCCACAAAGAGGAGGCATTTTTTTTTGGGGGGGGAGGATTTTCCAGCATAGTCCAGAGAGGAGGAGGTCTGAGATTCTAACATCGGGTTTAAGTATCTTTTTTAAAATCACTACTTTGTAATCTGATAAGCCCAAAAGAAAAAACATAATTGACTTGCTGGCCTGAAATCCAGCAAATACACACAAACAGGCCTTTGGTAACCAGTCACTGAGGTAACACCGTGGAGGTCCTGACCCATCCAATGCCAATCTCGGCCTCTTTCCATCGTAACTCCGAGTCCACTGACATTACCTTCCGTCCTTTCTGTCACCCAAGCATTTATGTGTTTCCGACATTCTTCAGTATCTTTAGCAAAGGACAGCTCCTCCAGCTCTGCCTGATAGAACTTCTGGCAGGATTCCTTAAAGGTCTACAAACACAAAACACTGAGTTTGGCCTTATTTGGCAAAGGTTCCCACAACTGAGAAAACATTTGTTTTTTTTTTTTTTTCCTCTTAACATGTTCCTACCATAAATGTTTGCACAGATCATGCTGCGCTTTAAGATGCACTCATACAATTGACAAAAATGTATGGACCACCTACTCTGTGCCTGGCACTGAGCTAGGAGCTTGAAACCAGGGTGAAGCCATGACTTCTGACATGAGATGGCCCACAGGCTGATGGGAGAGACAGCCCACACACACAGATGCTTATGAGATGTTATGGCTGTCACCATCCATACACAAAACAACTCAGGAACATCCCTGTCAAACACTCTGCATTGACTTTGATTTTCTGTTTCCCTACTAGACAGTCTAACTCTCTTTTACTCATTTTTGTATCACCAGCACCAACCAATGTCTGAAACATATCTGTTGAATGATTGACAGGCTCCATAGTGGAACAAGGTTGTCAAGAAATCATATAGATATACAGGTGGACAAAGAAGGAAACAGCATTTGTTGATCTGGGTCGTTATGGTCAGCTGCGAGAATATGGAGCAAGGAAGGTTCTCCAGAAGTAGTGTGCAATAAGCCTGGATCACGGTGTGAGGACAAATGAGCATGCATTAAAACGTGAGTGTGTAAACATGTGTGTGCATGTGTGTATGTGTCTCAGCAGGAACCAGTCCAATAACCAAAGGTGGGATTAGGGAGGAACTCTGTACAGCACTTCGGGTAATGTGGTCACTCGGGAACAAGGAATCAAGAGGGAAAAGTGGGTCTGGGTGCAGGAGGATGGAAGCATTGACCTTGACACCAGGCAGGGATGTATCAGAAACTATTTTAAACAGACACAATTCAGAAGCAATCCTTAAATTCAAAACTGTAATTGCAGAAGTGTACTCTTAAGCACATTTTTAAGGCAGTAGAGTTACCCTTTATTCTCTGCTTTTCTGTAGTTTCTATCTTATTTTCAATTTCTTTTTCATTTATATGTGAGTACTACTTACTGAAAGGAATTCACACGTTTTTTCTCCAAAGAGTCTGTTGGCAGTTCTAAGCAAGTATTGAGTTCCAGTTTTGTTCACCTCAGCAAGAAGTGACTGGAAACCTTGGTGAATATCTCTGTAGTCATTCAAACAAAGTGCCTGGCAATAAAACAACAGCGACTTTGAATGTTGTTGTTAAACTTCCCCAAATATCTATCTCCAAACGAATCTCTTTACTGAACATCACACAGGATCCTATCTTAAGAGAAGTTTGGTTTAAATGTCTACTAAGCACATTTTTAAGGCAGTAGAGTTACCCTTTATTCTCTGCTCTTCTGTAGTTTCTATCTTATTTTCAATTTCTTTTTCATTTATATGTGAGTACTACTTACTGAAAGGAATTCACACGTTTTTTCTCCAAAGAGTCTGTTGGCAGTTCTAAGCAAGTATTGAGTTCCAGTTTTGTTCACCTCAGCAAGAAGTGACTGGAAACCTTGGTGAATATCTCTGTAGTCATTCAAACAAAGTGCCTGGCAATAAAACAACAGCGACTTTGAATGTTGTTGTTAAACTCCCCCAAATATCTATCAACAGCGACTTTGAATGTTGTTGTTAAACTTCCCCAAATATCTATCTCCAAATGAATCTCTTTACTGAACATCACACAGGATCCTATCTTAAGAGAAGTTTGGTTTAAATGTCTAGCACAGAGTTTCTCAACCTTGACACTATTGACATTTTGGGCTGGATAATTCTTTGTTGTGGGGCTGTCCTGTGCACTGTAGGATGTTTAGCAGCATCCCTGGCTTCTACCCACTAGATGCTGGCAGCACCTCTCCATTAGGAGTACTAAAACTCTCCATCCAAGGGTCCCCAGGAAGACAAAATCTCCACTCCCTAACCCCCACAAGAACCCCACTAAGAATGTGCTTAGTGAGTGCAAAGAAACAACCACAGAGGATCTCAACTGGGGTCCCTCAATGCACTTTAGGACATCGTCCATATATTCCTGACATTAGTGGCAAAATAATGTCCATATGGCAATTTTCTGGGACACTTTCACCAGATGGTTGAAGAAATGTCCTTGAAGTATTACCCACTATCTCATATGTAAATAAGGTTATACATAACCATTCTAGATCAATCAGATTATGCATTCCCTCTCAATAACTCCAGAAGATATAGGTCCACACTTGTGTTGCATTCTTCTGCCACTTGTGTATAAATCATACACTAAAAATAACCCATTTAACCAAAAGTCCATTTACACAGCTGCATTTCTCTTTAAAATATAATGTTAGCAAAAGGTTAAAATTTAACAAGGTTGAATTTTTCTGCCTTTTTGTGCAGCAGAGTTAAAATTTATCTTACTTATCAAAGATGCAGTTATGCCTGAATGTATTGATGATTTTATCTAGAGAAAATAACTTGATGACTTGATATCCCCCATAAACACTAGCGGAGGTGACCTGTCCTACGCAATGCACCTTTCTCCACTGCCACAGTGCCCCTCCTCCCACCTGCCAACCACACTGGGTTTCACCCGCTGGTGTGAAAGCATAGAAAGGCCAGCTCTGTGGAAGCACAAAGAAAACATGCTGTTTGGTGTCCTTCCTTTGCAACAGGTGCACGTACCTGGGACATCTGGGCCGCGGTGTTTCCTTTTGCCCCCATAAAGACCATGGCCAGGGCAGAGGAGATGCTCAGGGGAGAAAAACACACGTTTCCTGACTTGTCCTTTTCACTCAATATTTTTAATAAGCTGATGGCAAAAGTGCCATTTGCTTCACAAAGATCATCCATCAGGGAAGGTCTGGATCAGAGGCACAATACAGAAGCACATTAACCATGCCCTTCTGTGGTCCTGGAGTCATTAGAACCCCCGCCCATCAGTGGACACCGGGTGTGGTAGGTGGAATGACTGCATGCCCAAAGACAACCACTCCTAATCTCCGAAACTCGTAACTACCTTATCTTACCTGGCAATGGGGACTTTGCAAATGTGATTAAATTAAGGAGTTTGAGAGGTGACGATTATCTTGGATCACCTGGGTGCGTCTAACGGAATCACAAGGGTCCTTGTTAGAGGGAAGCAGGAGGGTCAGAGATGGAGAAGAAGCCGTGACAGCAGAAGCAGAGGTCACGGTGATGTGGGGCCTCNACAATGGAATACTATTCAGCCATAAAAAAGAAGGAATTCTGTCATTTGCAACAGCATGGATTGCACTGGAGATCATTATGTTAAGTGAAATAAGTCAGGCACAGAAAGACAAACACCTCATGTTCTCACTTTTATGTGGAATCTAAAACAATGGAACTCAAAAGCAGAGAGTAGACCAGTGGTTACAGAGGCTGGGGATGGGGAATGGGAAGGTAATGGTCAAAGGAACAAAATTTCAGTTAGACGGAGGAATAAGTTTTTTTTTGTTTTTTGAGTTCTACTGCACAGCATGGTGAATATAGTTAATAATAGTGTTTTGTACATTTCAAAATCATTGAGAGTAAATTTTAAATGTTCTCACCACAAAAAAGTGCTTGAGGTGATGAACATGTTAATTAGCTTGATTTAATGATTCCACATTGTATTCATAAATTATAACATCACTGTGTACCCCATAAATATATACAATTAAAAATTGTCAGCTTATGATAAAATAAAAAGATTAAAAAAAAAAAAGACTCTTGCTGGTTTTATATCCCAGGACTATCTGTCTCAAGAACCTGGGGGCCATCCCTTTGAATTGTGATCATTAAGGAAGATAGCACCGGTATCTCCCAGTGTCTGCACAATAGGAGACTAACCTCAGCAGGCACTTTGCTGTAAGTGGTAGAAAATTATTACAATTTATTATAATTCCTGCATAAATCAATTTTTCTATTAAAACTTATAGAAACCTGGGCTATTATTCCATGAAATATTAAAATTTATCAATTCATTATAGTTTTCCTGTGTCTCTTTGCTCTTATCATTGAGGGCATTTGGGGAAGTAAAAGGACAAATCATTGCCCATAATCCTGTGACATTACAAGCTATTTTTTTCTATTGTGCTACCCTTTCTTTTTTATATGCATGTATATTTTAACTCAAAAGTTTTAAAGCTAATCAAGAAAAATATGTTGAAGTTTGAAAAANATGGCAAAAGTGCCATTTGCTTCACAAAGATCATCCATCAGGGAAGGTCTGGATCAGAGGCTCAATACAGAAGCACATTAACCATGCCCTCCTGTGGTCCTGGAGTCATTAGAACCCCCGCCCATCAGTGGACACCGGGTGTGGTAGGTGGAATGACTGCATCCCCAAAGACAACCACTCCTAATCTCCGAAACTCGTAACTACCTTATCTTACCTGGCAATGGGGACTTTGCAAATGTGATTAAATTAAGGAGTTTGAGAGCTGACGATTATCTTGGATCACCTGGGTGCGTCTAACGGAATCACAAGGGTCCTTGTTAGAGGGAAGCAGGAAGGTCAGAGATGGAGAAGAAGCCGTGACAGCAGAAGCAGAGGTCACGGTGATGTGGGGCCTCTGACCAAGGAATGTGGCTGCCTCTGGAAGCTGGAAAAGACGAGGAAACACATTCTCCCCTAGATCCTTCAGAAAAAACGCACCAAAATGCTGTTCTGTTTAGGACTTAAGATCTCCAGAATTGTAAGATTATCAAGTTGTGTTGTTTTCAGCAACTAAATTTTTTGGCAAGGTGAGACAACATCAATAGGAAAGAAAAACAATGGTTGATTCTCAAAACAGCCAATCCCATTGCCCATGACTGGTTCTACTCTAGCAAGGCACCGTTCTCAGCACTTCCTGTGGATCATCTCATTTAACCCCAACAGAAACTACACATCGAGGTCAGTAGTTTTTACCCCACTTTAGGGATGAGGAGACTGAGCTCATTCCAGGATCTCTCAGGTAGTCGTTAATGTGACTGGAACCCACAGTTTGATTCCAGAGCCAGAATTCTTACCCATTACAAAAAATCTCTCTATTGTACTAGTTCTCTTTCAGTTTGGTGTCTCTAACATAATTTATAAAAAATGTTCTAAGGATTATAAATAATTCTTTGTAAATAAAAACTGCATTTCTGGCCTTATGTGAAAATGGATGGATAGATTTCACCAAATCTGGAGGGTTTGTTTGGGTTAGTCTGACCTAAAATATGGGCTACTTGGAAGACAAAAAAATTCACTTTGAATCAGGGTGACTCCAAAAAGATACACCATTGTACACAAGAGCTGCTGGAACTTATGTTTGCCAGGAAGCTGCAAAAGAGCCCATGGGCATGGATATAAAATACTAAGCCTAATTCTCAAGTCATCAGGAAAACACCTTGACTAAATGCATTTATTTGGGATCCATACTGGCCAAGACAGCCTTAACATTCCCCTCAGATTTAATGAACTTTAGTCAAACTAAATGTGACTAAATAAATAAACAAGCCTCTTCCTGACTCTAGGCCCTGACCTCCCTTTTCTTAAAGCATTTACTTTAGAAAAC